GATCTGTTAAGATGTTTCTAGGCAGAATTATTAATGTATGTGACATTCGCTCTTAATGAATTATTCAAAATCTTTCGGTGGTCCAGAAGCAAACAGCAGTGTGTCTGGTGTTTTTATACGACATTCTAGATAATATGGTGAGCAGAATCTGTATGGGGAAAAGATCATTGCTCTCTAGAGGATGAACTGAATGGTCAAGCAATAACAGTAGTTCCCCCTACTAATAACTCTTCCACTCATTGCGTCACACTACGCAGCTGGCGATAGATACACATAGGCAGGTGAAGTGTCCTGAACGGGAGGCGTATGGGGGGGGGGGGGATTTCGGATCCAAAGGAGTAATGACAATATGGAAAAAACAGTTTATCTTCTCTTGCTGAAGTGCGCCACGCACTTAACTTACATTCAAAGTCGGGCTTACATTCTGAATGGGAAGTGACCCTTACACGATTGCAGAGGCATCCAATGTACAAATTAGTGTTTCTTTTCTCCCAGACACACATGTGTCAAGTCATTTATCCCAGAAGGTTAGTGGCTTTGTCAACCTAGATGAGTTTCCATCCACGAATCGAACTGCGACTTATGCGCGCGATTTGCGGCGCTACGTGCCTCTACACGTAAAAGCTCAATATTTTAATTCTGTCGGCCGCCCTTGCAAGATGGCTTCACCAAGAAGTTCGTATAGGTCCATCAAAGTTTGAAGAAAACGCGACGGTGTGAAATTTAACACTCGACAGGCAAATAGTAGTTGTGCTTGATCGCGGAGAGTACGATGTAAGTGACACGTGGAGTGCAAAAGTGAATATTTCGCTTCTCAGAGGAACCCACTTGGTCAGGGCTGCTTTCAGGGTTTATATGATGAGCTTGAACTGGGAGGTAGCAATCAAATGCCAGCAGAAGCCGGAGTGTAATATTTGTTAGAGACCTGCCTGTCTGGGACCTTCTCAAAATTGTAAGGTCAGTTTACGCAGATTCGTTACAATCGCCAGGACTTATGGTTAGTAAGAACGTACTAAGACATTGAGGAGGTTAAGCTCCTACCATTCGTGCTGATCCCATGATCAAGGCATGTGTGGCGGTCCTGCTCGAGAGCTGTGCCCCGATGAGACATTTATATAGCTTCGATTACCAATACGGGACCGAGGTGAGGTAATACAAGCTTGAACCCCTTAAGTCAATCCTTTTATTGGCAGTTTTGTGAATCTGAGGACCTAGCATCTTTACGAATCGCAAAGGAGTTTTCCTAAGTACCGAAACTTTTTGTATACTCATCCGCAGGTAATGCAGTAACCTGGGGTAAAGGGGTATATCACTCAAGTACGGGTGAAGACATAAGGTGGTTCGTTTTGCCTCTCACTGAAGCGAACCTCTGAGGCTCTTCTGTTAGTAAAGTATAGGCCATTCTGCCAGTAAAATATTTCAGTATATTTGATTCGACTAGATCTGTGAGCCCCGCTGACCTTTTGTCTCCTAGTGGTCCCGCGGTTTGACTTAATGGCCATGAAACGACTACACTTACACACCGGCGTCTCGCTCCTAAGAGTTGGTCTCTGTATCGATGAAGGTGTTTCACTCGGCAGGTGGTCTCGGTAGTGAATAGACGCTAAGTGTGCAGTCTCAATAACCCCCGCTGGCGTTTAGCATGTTTCGGACGCAATTACACTCATACATACTGTAACCTAGGACGTACACACAATAGATGGCGACCAAGTGCAGCTAATCGAGCAAACCGCACGTAATTGGAGACCACCTTAACACCAGCCTCTTTCCACTCGTACTCGCTCGCGCTCCCTATTCTCTCGACAAACCGGGTTTCGAAGGGATTTTAATTGTTAGATTCAGGGCGGGAGAGTTGACCAGGATGGGAGGGGGTGCTGCTATCAGTCCCCACTTCAGCCCTAATGGGAAGCACTTCTCTATGAGGTCAGAAATCTTGTGTGCTGGCTCCCTCTCTCATTAGTCTGTTGAATGCTCGCAAACAAAGAAGTGTCGGCGAAGCAGATCGAAACGAGCAAATGCGGGCGCTTGTTGCGATCGACTCTCTTCGGCCCTATCAAAACACCCGACGCAGTGTTTCCATTACGCCCATACTCAACTACGGTACTTACTTCCTACATTACCCTCACTCCACTGTCCTATATGGTAACAACAACTTCGCTTCGGCTACAGACGTTTTGCTCCCCCCCCCCAGCCCCTCCGCGCTGTGCGAGTGTGTGTTCAGACGAAAGAATACCTGGTGCTGGTTGTAATAGAGAGCGCGGTTGTTTGGGCATCGCATCGCTGTGGTTGATGAGTAGTCGTCTCTTGTTCGCTGCAGCTCTCTTTCTCATCATCACTCAAGGGCCCGCGGGCGCAGTGTGTGCGTTTGAGTCGCATAAGCTGCGTATCATTGGCGACCACGGCGCGCTAACAGGATTACTGTATGGTCAATGTTCGGAACAACGTCAGCAGCGCAGTTCGCAGACCTTGACTGCGGCTTAGACATTTGATGCCTATCATCATCAGAGATTGCGTCGCCGTCTTTGCCTGCTATCATCGCCGTAGGATCCAATCTGGGCCGATCGCCGACGTAAATCCAGCGCAAACCCACGATCCCCTCACCGCGCGAATCGCGCGATATTTTCGTACAATGGGCGGAGTCCGAGGCGGTGTACTGTAATGTGATACGGGTCCAAACACAAGACGTCCCGTACCGTAATCCCTCAACAGCACCACCAGCAGTCGCTTATCCGGCAGAAAACCGAGCATTAGGATTAGATGAAATGTGAGGTCGATGCATGACGATGACAACGACGAGGCACATGCAGTGGTAGTAGATCCGATAAACAAACAATTCCATCTCGTAAGTCGATATTGTATCTACCGTAAGACAGCGGATCGTTGTGGGATTCTAATGACTGAAAATTGAAGAGCGGCTATGTTTTGATGCGGCCCTCGTTGGCAGCTGCATTTAGTCCAATTACACACACTGAGTTGCCTTTCTGCTCGCTCATTCGACCTCGAGAGCTGGCTTTGAAAAGACACCATTATCGAATGCAGATGGAGTGGAATAGAGCTGCATAAAACGCCGCTTAGCCTCAGGCGATAGGGTAAGGTGGGGTCCCTGGTGTGGACACCCCTACTGTAGCGCTGGCCGTATCTGTCGTACCCGTGAACTGGAATTTTCATCCATCGAATCCCCTGATCTGATCTCAGTTTCGCATTATCGCCAGTCGGCCCCCCTGTCCATCGATCCATTAGTTATCGCTCCTCTTCACTGAACTCATTGTTAGGTCACAGCACCTATTGAGCGCGTCGCGGTTGATTCGGCGCAATGTCCTGAATAGTGAATTTGATTCCCGTGACGAATACATGTCACTAATGACGCCGGTAATACTTGGGTGTTTAGCGCTTGTCGTCTCGATGGCGCGCATCTGTGGGGTGGATTCGCTGACGCAGGTTACGCAACCCGCTTGACACTATCCTAATTGCCCCATCGTCTAATCGTTGTACGGATTACATCGAGTGCCAGTAGTGCAAACATTGTCAGAATAAGCGACTGCTGCCGATTGGCCTAATGCCAACAAATGACTACATGCTTCTCCGGCAGAACTCTACCCCTCTTACCCACCTCAGCAAACTGGTAATGCCCACTTAAGTCATCCATTTCTGTCCAGGCAAAGTCTTTTGTTTCCGGAGGCCGCCATTGGACCCCTTATTGGCCACTGAATGAACACAATGAGAAGCTAGTGATATGAAAGAGGGGAAAGATGGTGGAGAGAAGAACGACAGACGCGGAGAGGAGTAGATGGTTAGGCGAGCGCCTTCACATTACAGGCCATTAGCACGACACGAGAAGACAAATTCTCCTTGATGGCAATTTGCGCTCCGTGGGGAAATCGCGAGCGATTGTGTTGGAGTTGATAACGGATTGTAACCGGAGGATGTGAACCCGGGAGATAGCACCACGACAGCTCCCGGAAACACTGACGCAACATAATGACGAGCCCGTCGGTACCGGCCCCCGAATCCGCGTGTACTACCCCGTGAGCAATTCTAGGTGCGAACACGACTCGCTGTAGCCCCTGACGGGTATTTGCTCTCCTCATCTCTTATCTGATCTATGCCGCGTGTGGTGTTAAGCCCTCAACGTTCAACGCATTGTTAGCGCGATGAGCTAGGGTAGCACTCATTCAGAAACACAGTTACCGTATCAACTCAGGTAAATGGTCCTTCGGAGAGCGACGACCATGGCGCGCCGATACCCCACTCTCTTAACTTGTTGATGTGACTGTAGAGAATAGATGGCGAAAAGTGAAAAACACTCTCGACTACTTATGTCCAATGAATGATCGCAACCAGACAGGTTTTCCATGGCGTTTGCTTTCCATCGACCAACTCAAGGCATGTTTCATTACGCGTGGAACCTGCGATAACCCTGGGGTTCAGAGCGGGGTTGACGATGAAGCCGAGAGTGTTGCAGGCTGGCTGCGTCACACGTGGAGTGTGGAGAGTCGCCCAAAACAAAGTGGAAGAAAAAGGCCAACGGCACCGCCAGCCAGCCAACGATTTGCACTTATGTGTGTGTGAAATCTCGGCTTTATAATGTTCACTTGGAAGGTGCTTTCATAAGCGTTCCTCGCCTCGTCGACGTTAACCGCGCTTTCCTCCGGAAGTTTCAGCGATGATTTCCTAAGGACTACATAGAGATTGAGTCTAAGTGAGTGTCTGTGTGGTGTCGACGACGACGACCGGAAATATCCTTCGGATTTCCGGCTCATGCTCATCGCAAATCGCACGTTCAGCAGCACAGCCACAGCCCCTGTTAGTGCTGCTCATGCTCAGCTGCACCCGTGGACTATCATCGTTCTCGCATCGCGCATCGTGCGCTCGCTCTCCCCCCTATTCTCATGACGGCGGTGGGTGTGGTCGGTGGCCGGGCGACCAATCACGCACACGCGTGCCGCCCATATCATTAAGCAAGCTGGCGGATCATTGTTGGTACGGTTGTTCATGTGGAGATGTTCACACCGGAGCAACTACAGAAAGTATGGATGCAGTTGGCTTTACAAGGTATGGGCGCCAATCTGGGTGCCCTGCAAGCCTTGCAAGCCGCCAACATGTCAGCTCCACCCGCAACAGGACCACCACCTGGCCTATTCCCACCGATTCCTACCGCGACAATTCCGGTTGTTAATCCCGGATCGCCTACCACATCCAATTTGACAGCTGAACAAGTGAGTTTATTTCGATTTCTTCCTCTTTCTTTCCATTCTTGACATTTCGCTTTACGGACCTTACTACGGAAACTGCCCGTTGGTTGTGTTGGTTGGCTCATTGTTCATCAATCATTCCATTCATTCACCACAATCCAAACGGATGCCCATATCAGGCATCTGATTCACTTCCGCTCGGATCGTGCTTTTAGTAATCGAATGCCGTTTCTTTCTGATTCAACTTGCGCAACCTTTTGCGACCATAACCATCATCGTCGCCAAACAATTCAACTCTTCCCATACCACTCAATACATCGCTACAGCAAAATGTCATCTCACTTCCCTTCAATTCTGACTAGAATTATACCTACTATCGACTTTTCCGGGTGTAATTTGGAACCACTTTTGCCAGCTCCTTGCATTGAAAGCGATCTCTTTGTGCATTTTCTGCAGTCATTTAGCCCCACCGGGGCTCAATTTCAAGCGCTCAGCTCTCAGTTATTCTTTACTGAACAACAAGCAGCTGAATTGGCCAACGGTGTTACCCAGAGCAATTTGGTTTTGAAGGGCACAGAACGCTTTGTTCAGGGGGAGTTCGTGCAGTGTTTCGGCGAACTGAGAGTGCAGATGGCTTTCATATCCGAGCGGAGCGCGACAAGCTTTCTCCAACAACCCGACGACGGTTGAAATGAAATTTACACGGGAGCTCTTTGTGTGACGACGACGTCGTTAAGGCATGAGATGCTCGTGTTCAGTGATAGCGGAAATCGACGACACACGCACCGCTGCCGCTTTGCTGCCGTTTCCTTTCAGATTCGGACTTCTTTCCTCGTAATCTCATGACATTCCGTTCTCGTCGGAATTCGCACGTCGACCTTACCTTCCTCGTTTTCTGCTTTTTCGTAGCTGCTGCAAAAGTTGTCGTTGTCGGCTTTTCACTCGGGATAGCCTCTGCTTGGATCGCTGGCTCAAATAGGCTCGATACGGCCAGCTACTCACGCCTAACTGGTCACATAACAACACTAATAATCGCAGCATGAGAGATGTTGTGATAGCTTCAGCTCGGGTCTAATACGGCCCGAAACTCATACTCGTCGTATCATTGAGCAGCAACTTTTGCAGATTATCCAAACTTGTGATCAGCTCGAAAAAGCCGATGATGTCGATCGTCTGGCTCGATTTCTCTACAGCCTACCGCCTACACTCGCTCAAGAGGTAAGTCACCAAATAGCCAATCTGACCAGTTCCTTAACGATCTGCTTTCCAGGTGGTGTCCAATGAGGTGGTGCTCAAAGCCCGAGCGCTAGTCTGTTTCCATATGGGTGATTTTCGGCAACTCTACAGTATTCTCGAAAACCACAAATTCACTCAAGGAACCCACCAAAAGTTGCAGTACATGTGGCAAGAGGCGCATTATCGTGAGGCCGAGAAACAGCGTGGAAGGTTGGTTTTTGAACGAGACAATTATCTTTCAAACAAGAACCTTTAGCCCTTGTCCTGGAACGAGGGGACCAATGCGCATGCCTTCGTGGGCTAAATCAAGGGTGATATTGGTGAATGTTTCTTCCTGGAGACATGTCGCTTGGTTAATATGCGGTAATTACCGGGTACAAAGAGGGATAGCATGCCGTCTGCTAGCCGGCGTTGTGGTTACCTTGTAATTAGTAGATTCTACTAATTTGCGTTAAGGCTGCAAGTCAAGAAACATATGGCATTCGGGCGCTACAAATCTATACACGGGTCAAAAATCTCCTCTCGCTCGCTAAGCTGTTTTCCGATTCAGACCCCTCGGACCTGTCGACAAATACCGTGTTCGTAAGAAGTACCCGATGCCGAGAACGATCTGGGATGGAGAACAGAAAACCCATTGCTTCAAGGTTTGTGGGAATTTAGTCAATTTTCAGGAAATGCTGGTTATTCGATGATTTTGAAGTTTCGATTTCAATTTCAGGAACGAACTCGTTCATTGTTACGGGAATGGTACCTGAAGGATCCGTACCCGAACCCGAGTAAGAAGAAAGAGCTAGCAAATGCGACCGGTCTAACCGCGATGCAAGTCGGCAATTGGTTCAAAAATCGACGACAGAGAGATCGAGCAGCGGCGGCGAAAAACAAGTGAGTGTTGTGTCGAGACATCAAAGCGATTTCCATTAGTGGTTTGGTAACAGAATGAGGGTCTTGTTAACAAAAACATGGCCACAACTGGCAGTCGAAAACCTCTCATCAGCATGAGCGTTTGCTCCTTACACTTGCCCCATGTTTCGCTAAACGATCAGCCAGTCAGCCAGCCAGTCAGCCAGCCCTGTTGTGTGGTGGGGGAAAGGGGTGTCCTTGACTTTGTAGCATTAGAGTTGCGTTGGCATCTCATCGATGGTCTTCTTTCCCGTCGCCATCACCCTATTATTTTCGACTTAGCGCTAGTTGTGGCGAGTTCTGATGCAATGATACCTCGTTGTGTCGCGCTGTGTTTCGTTCCTCGATCACCTTTCGATTTCCTTTTTGAGGTCGACCAATGTGGGCGAATGGGCTTTGGGAAGAAACTCGAGAATGTCCATGTCATTGTAGACAAAACACGGCTCGTGCAAGCGAATAGCGCGAAGCCTATCGAAGCTATGAATCGCGAAATTTGTTATTGAAACACGCATGAAAACGAAATACTGGTGACGCACACCGGCGTCCTCCGCAACACCTTCAGCGCCACACTGACATTGGCCCAGAACTGGCAGGAAACCCGTTAGGGTTTCGTGCTGGCGGACTCGGGATTCTCTAGCCTGTATTCGTGACTGAGCTTGGTAATCAACTAATTTTAACGGCTTTGAAATTCAGCAGGGCTCTCTCCTGAGCAAAGCATGCTCGGCGCTAATGGACATCCGGTAGGCAAATAACCTGATTAGGTTAGGAGAAAAAAGTGAAACATTACAAACGAAATAATTGGTGAAGTGGTTTCGTTTTCGCTCCTTCCTCGACGAACGCTTAAACCCAGGACCCAAAACTCAGGGACCTAATCTGTGATACACAGACATAGAGTAGCGTCGATTATCTACAGGGCAAACAGGTTACATGAAGACCTTGAGCCTTCATGGCTTATATTTTTGCGCGTGGTCCGCACATGCCCAACGTCTCGGAAACCTCTGACCTTGGGATTCGAGAACCGCCAATATGACTAGTGATATTTTCTTATTTAAGAAATTGCACAGGTTTCAAATTACACAGACCTGTGGAACCCTCTGTCAAATACGAACTTAGTGTACTTCTTTGATTCGAAAATATCCCCCGCTTTCCAATCCACTAAATAAACTTCACCTTTACAATTTTTTCATATAGAACTTATTAAGCATTATTTTCAGGCAAAATGTAATCGGGGTGGAGCTGAAGAAAACGTGCGGTTCGGATGGATCGGACAGCGAAGACGAGAACGACTTGAAAGACAGCATGACCGACTCGCCGTCACCGATTGACGAGCCGAAAGACCTTTCGTTACGACCCTCCTTTGGCGCCGATCGACTTCTGGAGCCGCCATCGTTCACGATGAACCCTCTATTCTTATTCAATCCAGCATTTCTTCAGATGCAACAGCAATTAGCCTCACAGTTTTCGTACTACCCGTGAGTAGCTCACCGCTTCAGCCTCCTAAACGTAAAACAAACTGTCTATTGATGAGATTCTTGATCTGAAACCCGAACCCAAACCTTGCACATCACCACATTCACTCTCATCTTCGTCTTCTAATTCAAATAAGGAATTGTCCTCGTCCCCTGAGGTGAAACGTGAACCGATCGCCACCGCTGCCACCGTAGCACATTCAGAAGCCGAGCAATTAGTTGTATAGTCAAAAGTCTCGGATCAGTTCTGTTATGACCTTGTGGTGGTCATGACCGTAGTAAATTATGTGTTTGTTGTTGTGATTCAGCCAGGTTAACAATAGGTCAAACCAAATTCCTAGAACACGACGCGTCCGCGACCGCTGCCGCCTTGATGGCAGCGGATTCGTTAACGGACCCCGCTTTCGCTCACTTTGCGGACATGTCGTGTTCTTTTGTGCACGATTGTGATCCATGTACAGATTGTATGACGAGGAGCTCCCACCTTCTCGTCTGCTATATTCAACATTGTATGCCAAACGATTTTGTTTTGTTGAAAATAAATAAAATTGAATTGCTAGAGCGATTTTCGCCGGTTCTCCTCTCGCACGTGAATATTCCGTTGTTTATGGCATCACTCATTGTCTTTATTCCCTTGACCGCGGGTTTTTTCCTTGAAGGTTGTGTTTATAGAAGGTTACTGAAGATTTGTGAGCTGCTTTTTGAAAACCTCAACTAAGCTAGAGATTTACCACAAGGGCGCTATACGCAAGATACGGGGCATGAGAGGAACAAGCCAGGAGGAGCAGAAACTCTGCATAAGACATGCTCATGCACCCTGTGCTCCTCCTCCCGTCTGAGCTCAGTCCCGTTTTACCAAAAGGAGATGTTTTGATGGCTTTAATGCGCTGTCACCACAATGCTCCCTCATCTTGCGATAGCGCCCTACACAAGTAAAATACTTTGGAATTATGTAAGAAGGGCTAAATTCATGTGGGTATGTTTCCAGTTAATTTTGAATGCTATCATATTTATTTTCAAATTAATACTATGACAATGGATTATTAAATAAGTAATAGTATAGCGACTCACGTAGTTACAAGCTCTCTATTTATTGCATCGACAGTGGTATGAATGATCATTTCTTCTCATGGAAATTGGAAAGTGTAATGGCATCAACGAGCCCCGCGCCGTGTTTTGCCTTTCAAGCGTTTAATATACATTTACAAAATAATAGCTTCAAAATCACGATGTCCGCAAATAATGACACTTTCCGCTCCAGCAGATACCCTGTATGCTAGGTTTGGGGCCCTAAGCACCCTCAGAATCGGGATACGGTCCCTATTTGGACCCAGTTCTTCGCAAGTGACCCCATCCAAATTCCGAATGGGACCCAAAGCACTGCGTTTCATAAGGTCTTCTGAAAGCGTTTGCCAAAGCGCTGAGATATTTAAGGGCTTTTCCTCTATCAAACTAGCATTTAATGGTCGATTCACTTGCCTTAACCAACCCTTGCTGAACCATATTGTTCATCACGGCATGCAAAAACCGAAGACGCAAAATCGAAGGATAAATCTAGAGGACCAGGGTTAGCTACCAATCCAATGTCTAGTTTAGAAACCTTTGAGTCTATTGTGCTGTGATTTCACGGAAAGGAAGGCAACAGAGGAACCTGTGAAATTCAGGGTCTTAATGAAAAATAAGGCAGAAGTAGGGCTCTACTGACAATCCAGCTCTTTCCTTCTCACCTCTTCCCCTGTCCCAATGGGAACAGGGCCAAAAGTGCATATAGAGCAGCATCACCGCTCCACCCCTCCTATATAGTGTCTTCTAATCAGATTGATCAAGAAAAAGCCACAGAGATCCCGTAAAAAATCCATAATCCAGCCAGGGAGCCATCACCGGATGAAGTGGCTAATCAGTGGTTGTATCGTGCTGTCGATGTCTGTGTACCGAGTGGATAAGAGCCCGCTATCTGTGTGTATGTATGTGTACTCGAAGTATTAGTAACTAAGAACATGTATATACTTCTTCACGCACACAGCGACCTTAGCTCGTTGCTCATCTCTTGGAACTGAGGCTTTCTGAGTTCAATTCCATTTTCGGCTGTCGGCCGGCCAATTTGAACCTGTCCTCCAGCAATACGATACCGTCCAGCTTCATTGTCGTCACTTGTGCCACCTCAAAGGCATACGGTAGATGTCAGATAGAATTGCAGCGACACGCGAGCCGGGCATTTCAATTACGGATATTAGCGTCGTCGCCAGGTTTGCTTTCGGCGCATCGCACACGCGTCACGATACCGTAGCCTCGGAGGGAGAGGGTGAGAGCACCTGGCCAGCTGGCTCACTTTTAAATGCTATAGTCTCGATGAGTGCTAAAATGAGAGAATTATAGGATTTAAGGGTTGTAATTTAAAAGGTATAGAATTGAATAGAGGGTAGTCATACTTATCGACCAGAGTGAATATGTTCGCCTGGGTACTTTCGTTCGATCAATTATTTAAATTCGAACTCAGCACTCCTGAGCAACCTCTCGCACTTGAAGTGCTGTTCCCGTGTCGCCTATAATTGAATTTGACGAAATGCGATTTTATAAAAGTGAAAATTCACCGAAACTACCTAGCTATGCGTTTCAGCGTCCTCGTCAAAAAGGCATATGCTAGTCTTGTTTTCTCCAGGGAAATGAAAGGCATCCGAAGAAAAGGCTTCCTTCCCCACCTTTTACTTCTGCAAAGCGCCCTGAAAGGTGCCCTCGGTTTGATAGACTTGATCTGGCTGGAACGAGTGCGCCAGCCGGGTTTTGTGTTTCAGTTATACTGCACCTTCAAACTTCTCTGCAATTCGATTGCAATTCGAATGGGTGGCGCATCCCAAAGAGCTCCGAAACGGACTGCGTTGTGATACCTCAGCCCTTTGTGCTTTTGGAAATAGCCGTGTAGGGTCATTTGAGGATTCTATAGGACAACGTAATTTTTGAATGATAAAAACGTTTCCCCGCACTTGTTTATTTGTTTTTGAACAATTCGCAGTTTTAATTTATCGACTTGATTTTCGCGGGGGCCATATTTATAAAGCCTTGTCCCCTGATCGAGATGAAAATTTCCTAGAGCATTTTTAAGCAGAGCAAACCAACTTTGAGAGATCCTCGCGCGGAAGGGAGGGGTAGGGGGTCATGTTGGACGCGATAATACAGAAATGGCTCTCATTTGAAAGGAATAAGTAGTGCAGTTATTTGAACTTCTTCTGCGTCTTAAGTACTTTACAAGGGACAAATATAGGGTTTTCCTGAAGAGATAGTAAGTATTCAAACTTTAATCTCATGAATCGATGGCACGCTTCCCGTTGCCGTATTCACACCCACCATCCCCCCACATCAAGATTCGCCCGCATCTTTGCAGGAGCAAGAATGGAGGCAAAGACTGGAACGGAGTAACGTGTAGTGTGTAAGGTGACAGCGCTGGCTGCGTTGAAAAGAGAACGTACACAAGCCTGCCATCGGTTGGTTTAAACGGAAACCAAACCGAATATCCTACTAATTGCGCACACATTGGGGGTAATGACGATGAGAGATAAGCGCTTGTCGAAGCCGCTATGAAACCAGCCGGTATCTCTCACAAACAAGCTCTGATGATGGGGCGTTGCCTCTTCAACTACGCTCCGTTTACTTGTTTCTACACTTCACGTGTGAAGAGTGACAACATTTAAAAAAAGCTTTATTGTAAGTGCTTCTAAAAATAATGTTTGTTGGGTTTTGCTCGAGTTTTTGCTATCGTTTTGCCATCGAAAGGCTCCACCCCCGAAGCACTGGCTCGATCACCACTGAAAATGTTGCGCATCGCACATCTCAAAGCAGATAAGTAGGCGGTAGCTGGAGGATGAGAGCGATAAGGAATTAAAGATATCGAAGATTTCTGTCAGGCATTGATACTTAATGTCTCATGAGATGCGCTCGTTGCGAGTTTTTATATAGATATGTATATTCGATTTATACATAGCACTATGTTGAGTAGTGCTGCCAAAAATGAGCAGCGACATCATCAATTATCCAACGACCTATTTTCCCTCGAACTCACGTTGAGGTTGCAAGTTGCAAACTATTCATGGTAATTATCAACATAGTGCCTTCAAGCCAATAACTGTGACGGAGATGGACCGCTCAACAAGGAGTTTCCGTAAGGTCAATGTCCAGACTTTCCTGGCGACTCGGTGGATCTCCATCTCAATCGCAAAGTCTGACATCTGACAAAGTCTGACATCGCCTTAAAGGTTTTGATGAAGAGTGGAGTTCAGAAACGAGACTTTTCAGAATTCCGACGCTCAACCTCACAGGGCTTGAAGGACGAAGGATAAAACGCCATTTAGCGTTTTTTGTTGTTTCTTCATAACTGGATTAGTTTTGATTTTTTTCACAAGCTAAAGTAGATAATTCAGCTGGGTTCGAAGTTCAACTATCAAACTTTGCTTGTGAAAAAAAAAATCAAAACTGGTCCAATTACGAAAAAAAAAAAAAACGCGAATTGGCTTTTTATCGTGATTTCCTGAAAATTAAAGTGGGTTTTGTACTTCAAAAGCTCTCGTAAGAGTCGGAAGTATGAAATTATATAAATGAAATTTTATTTATTCTCGTGGAACTTTATTCATTCTCCGGCTACTCTACGTATACTTTCTGTTGTTTATAATATCTGCTATGCTAGGACTATTACCAACACCGGGTAGGTGCTGAGCATGTGCGAGAAGCGTCACTAAGTGAGCCGACGAGGCGGCTGGTTCGTCCTTTCACTATCATAGGCCATCTCTTTGATCTTCGATATCTCAAGCAGCTGTTTTGGATCACTTCTTTAATGTCCAATTGCTTCGATAAGTGGCAGGCACGCAAGAACTATTCGTTTCTAATTTTTCGTTCGAACTTCCTCTAAATTTTGAGTGTACGAGTTATGCACAGCTTCCTACTAGGCTTGGAAACACTTTTTCATGTAACTTCTGCCTTCTCAAGGTTAGAATCGATCCACTGGTTCTTTTTGGGAAA